CAGTCCTATATTCTCTAATCTAAACTATCACATGGCTGGATTTTTTCGATTTTTTAAAATTTATTGAGAATATAGAACTGACGGCCATTTAGTGTTTTGAAAACCTTGACCGGCAGTCAAAATCGCTAATTTGTGTCCAAAATCGAATGGCTGTCAAGTTTTACGTTATATTTTATTCTCCCACGAAAATAATTCTAAATTTTCTGCAACATGTTTTCTTTCATTTTGTACGCATCTGACGTATCAACTAGGCTATCAGAAATAGCAAATCTTAGCCGATCAGTTTCTCCTGCGCGGTGCAACAATCCGGAGATTGCAGGCAAATGGTAAACGACCTGTACAGTGTTTACCGAACGAAAATTCCAAACTGAAATTTCCGGAATTTTTTTGTAAATGGTAAACAACCCGAATGTCACGTTATTTACATTTCATAAGAACTATATGACCAAAATGAACATACCTTCCATCTTATCGTCGGGTGAGAAAGAGATGGAAAACTTTTGATCTTGGGCTTTGGATTTAGTAGATCTCCTTGAGAGCCCTTGAAGTTCTTGAGCGTCCAACCTGACTGACTCACGTGAAGCTACGTGACGTAATTTGGCATTAAGCAGGGCACAATTGGCTGTAAGATGCTGGCTTTGCACCTATTATTCTGTTTTGGAGGTGTCAGCCAGATTATTCGCTATTACTTGGCGCAAAACAAGGTATCCTATCAATAAAAGACAGATTCCGGCTAACGGGAAATTTACGAAGCACTCAAAGTGCTCGCTGCTCGTCATCTGTATTTTCTAAAGAGCTCGCAGCTCGCAATAAAAATTTGACAAATGCTCGTGCTCGCAAAAATAAACACACTGCTCGCATGCTCGCAAATGCTCGTAAAGGCCATTCGATACCCCTGCTATTAATTGCATCCGTTTTCAAGGAATTGAATTTGCTGGATGAAATAAATGAGTCAGAAAGATACATGAAACAACCTTCGTAAGAAAACGCGCCGCGGCCATCACTGGCGGGCATCGACACCAAAATTAGACATCAAGTGAGGTGCTCAAAAGTTACCTGATGAAAGAGGATATGCGAAGCAGTTCAGCTCGGTGCTATGAACTGAAATTTCCCACAGAGAAATACTTTTGTTTTTCCCCTCGCCTCTGAAAAGTAATTTCATTTACGAGTGGATTGTTTCAGGTTTGTTTCTTGTCACTTTTATAGTAGGATTTGCCTTCAACTTAACCACGGGAGGCATCGGCACGATAGAATTCCTATTAATTT